TTACAATTTAAGATATAAATTAGTAAAGAATTCTTGTTAAACAACCAACAAAGATTGTATAACCAGCAATGTTCAAATAAAAACCAGGCAGAATTTATTTACAAAAAGTTTAGATTCCATTGCAATACAACTTGCATAAATTACTAGAAGCTTTATATCATTATAAAAATAAATATCAAATTTGTTTCCACTTCTTAAGTACTCAAGTTTCTCAATCACATTTTATTTCTACTGTGTACATCTTTTACAAATAAATTTTACAGTAAGTCCTATCACACCTAGAGAATATATACCGTGGCAATGAAGTGATCAATTCAAGATATCCTGAGAAAAAAGATTGTTTTCAAAAGTCACACATACGTTGGGGAAGCTATACTATGCCAACAAATTCACGTCATGTCCAATAAAAGTCTGTTCCGATAGAGTCTGTGGCGCCTTCTCCTTTATAGTGGCACGAGATGCGGTCCGGGCTTAGAGATGTGTTTTTTTTATATCTGTGTATTTCTGAACTTGGGGAGAGAGAATGGCCTGCTGACTTTTTTTTTTTCCAAAGCAATTGTGACACCTACCTGTGGACCAAGGAAAAAACCAAATCATCCCAAATCCTTCAGTCCACACCAACATCATCACATCACAGAAACGAGTCGATCTGAAATGCTTCTGCCTTTTTCCCAACATCTTCAAGATCTGTGATTACTAATTTTGCCTAGTCGTAAAGTAGGTATTTTTTGAGAGACTGCTGGGAGCCGGGCGATCGGCGAGGTCCTATCTAGAGCCCATCTGGACACAGGGGCAGGCCTGATAAACGGCTGGGCTGCTCACGTCTCTTCGGGCTTACTCTGCAAACATCACCTCTAAAGGGTCCTGGTGCCCCAGGCTTCAGCAGCCCTAGCTCATCAAAGCCAGCGTCTAGTACATGCCTAGCATAGTAAAAATGCTTCCAAACTGCTTACAAACACCCAAATTTTAACCATCTAATTTTCAAAGAGAAAACAACAGCACTGGTGCAATATATACACTCCCTCCCATTAAAGGAGTGATTCTTGACAGCTGAGCTGGAGTGAGTAAGAGGGACTCTATAAAACAGAACAGCTACTTTCCCAATTAAAGGGAAAAAAAAAAGACCGAAGACCACTGCAACTGCTCTGTCCTCAGACTCCATGGCGAGAAGCGAGAAATAGACACTGAGCAAGTTTACAGCACAATCGGTGATGGGAGGCTCCCCCAGGGTAGGAGGCGGCACCAGGGTGCCCACTTACTTGCATTGCTGTGTGCGCGGGGCCTTCTATAGGTAGGGCTGGACGCCCCCACCAACCACGGTGCAGCCCTCACTGGCATCTGTCAGGGGAGGGGGCAGTTAGTCAGAACCTGACCCCAGAGCCATCTGTCTCCCAGACAGCTGCACACCCACCAGCCCGCACTCCCACGCACGCCCGCTCCCTGAACGCACAAAAACAGGGAAACCGTCTGTGCGGCCACTCTCGGCAGACAGATTTGGGGCATGTTTCCCTTTCTCATTTTCTTTTCTCATCCCCTTGAGCTCTTTCTGCAGGTCTTATCAACTCTGGCCTGAATTATGAGCGATGGGAGGCAACCCAGAGAGGGCTGGGGAAGCGGCAAAGACTCTGGTTTCCTATTTGGAAGAATTAGTGCCTCTCAGAGTTACTAGAACGTTTTGTTTCCTTCCAGCCAGAAGCACAAGAGGAGACTCAGCTGAGACTCTCAAACCAGAACCGCACTGAAACTTCAGCCCAGTCAACCCGGGGGACAAGTTGTAATTTGCATTTTGTGACAATTTGTTTTATTTTTTTTGGGGGGGACAAATCTATCGTGATAATGACATTCAGTAACGATAACGGTAAGTTCAATAAAATGTAAAGAATAAAGGCGTGAGGCTTATTGCAAGGCAAGGGGCCCTCTGCCGTCCCCTGCCCTTTCCTGCTGCTACCGCTGCTTCCCTTCCCGAAGCTCCAGGCGCATTCCCTCCCCTTCGTCTCTCCAGTCCCAACAAAGGCCCCCGCGCCCCGCCCCAGGGTCTCCCGGGCCCCCTCCCCACGGTGTCCCGGGAGGGGGCCCGCCGGCTCGCCCTCCCCCAGGCCCCGCGGGCCGCGGGCAGCCTACCTTTCTTGGGCTCGTAGCCGCCGCCCGGAGGCCGGTAGTGCGGCTCCAGCGGGTGCGCGCCCGCCTTGCCCGCGTCGCTGGCCGCCTTGGGCGCGGAGTGCAGCGCCTCTCCGGGGGCCGCGGCCGCCGAGTTGTAGCGCAGGAGCCCCTGGCCCTGCAGCGCCGCGTTCAAGTTCCCGTAGTTTGTATAGTTGCCGTAGAAGGGCGATGTGTAGTACAGGTGGCGGCCGAGCAGCGGCGACGCGGGGTAGGGCGAGCCGCCCGGCGGCGCCCCGGAGGAGGCGGGCGCGGCGGCCGCGGGCAGCCCCGGCGGTGCGCAGCCCGGGCCCAGGCTCGGCTGCTTGAGGTCCGACGTGGCGATCTCGGCCAGAGACCACAGCTTGGGCTTGCTGGCGGGCTGCGGCGCGCCCGGCGACGTCCGGCTGCCCAGGGGCATCTTGCCGCCGCCGCCTCCGCGGGGCGCGGCCTCGGGCGGGGGGCTCAGCAGCGGCGCCTCCACGCCGGTGAGCGGCGACGAGGTCACGGGCTTGGGCGGCGCCAGGTCCCGCTCGCCCTCCTCGTCGTCGTCCTCGTCGTCCTCCAGGTCGTCGTATTTGTCCTTGCACTCGGAGCCCGACTCGCACAGGGGGTCCCCGGGCCGACAAGGCAGCTTCTCCCCGTCCGACTCGGCGGAGCACGAGTGATCCGTGAGCGAGTCGACGTGCAGGCTGATCCCTGCGGGGGCGCGGGCAGGGCTGTGGTCCGCAGGGACGGCCGGGGGCCTGGGCACCCTGCGCCCCACGGGTCCTCCCACCCCGATCCCAGGCGGGAGCACGGCCTCCCCGGAGAGCTCCCGAGGATTCGCTGGGCCCCGCGCGCACCCGGGTGGGGCGGGCAGCGCCGTCCCGCCCTCGGCTCCGCGCCCGCCTGGGAAGAAGGCTCCGCGACCACGCGTCAGCCATGGGCCTGCTCACCTTCGTCCTCCGCTGACGTCTCGGTGCCCTCCTGCGCCTTGTCCGGGCTCTCTCCCTTGCTCCTGGCGGCGTCGCCCTCGTCCTCGTCCTCGTCCTCGCTTTTGTTCCTGGGCGCCCATGTCATCTTGTTCTCCTTCTTGAGGCGCCGGCGCGCGTTGGCGAACCAGGTGGACACCTGCGTGAGGGTCATCTTGGTGATGATGGCCAGCATGATCTTCTCGCCCTTGGTGGGGTAGGGGTTCTTGCGGTGCTCGTTGAGCCAGGCCTTGAGCGTGGCCGTGGCGTCCCGCGTGGCGTTCTTGCGGTACGCGGGGTCGTTGAGCTGGTACGGGTAGGCCGCGCTGCCGTACGGGTGGTAGCTGATGGCGCCCGTCATCCCGGTCGTATGGGCGTCGTAGGGCGCGCCCTGGAACCAAGGAGAGCCTGGTGAGGGGTGTGCGAGGGCCTGGCCCGCATCAGCCCAAAGCTGACCCCTCCGCCCCCCCCCCACCGCCTCCCTTCCCAGGGTGAGCCCCGCACTGGAGCCTCCTTCCCCGCGGCAAAAGAGCGGAAAAAAACGCAGCGCACAGGGCGAGACAGGCTGCAGACTGCGAAAACGCTGCCGTTCTAATCTCGAATTTTTGAACTATTTCACTTTCCTAAAATGACACATCTTCCCCCAAAAGTCCCCGAGCTGCGGGCACAGAGGTACGCAATCATACACACACAGAGACCCACAGGTACTTTCTTGATATCTAAATTTCTGTGGCTGGCTCCCCCTACTCCCCCTTCCCCGCCCTTCTACGGTTAAAAAACCACCCCGGAGCCCCCGCTCCGCTATTCACCGCTCTAAAGCTCGGCAAATCCAATTTGCAACTCAGAAGCCAGTCACCGTTTCGAATTCTTCAAATACGCGGTAATTAGCATTTTAATTCAGCCTTTAACGTTTAAATTCGAGACATTTGCAGCCTCGGCCAAGGCCCCAGTTCCACTGTCGCTGCCCTGGAATTCCACCGAGGGCGGGCAGCGGCGACAGTCCCCCCGCGCCCCACTCCCCCCGCCCCCCTCCGTCCCAGCCTCGATCGTCCGAAACGGGCGTAAGCAACACGGGGCCGGGCCCAGCTGCGGACCCGGAGGCCAGCGGGACGACCCCAGGCCCGGCAAGCGGCAGCTGTCCTGGGTACTCGGGGGACCAAAGCGGCATTAGGGTCGCCACACGCCCGCCGCCGCGTCTTTCGGAAGCACGGCCTGTGGGACGGATGAAGGCCGAGATCGCCGCGCGCCGGGCAGGGCCGCGAGCTGCCGCCGGACCCTCGGCTCCCTCCCCCTCCCGGTGAGCCCCCCCCCGCCCCCAAACCCCGAAAGTCAACCTTAAGCGCCCGGCCTAGCCCTGGAGGCCCCAGGGGCGCCGAGCCCCGCTCCCGGAGTCCCCGGCCGGCCCTGCACCCTGCGCCTGGCTTGGGCGCGTGAAGGCAGGACGACCCAGGGCACATTCCCGACCCCGGCGGTGTCGCACTTTTCAAGCTCTTTGGGAGCAGCACCCAGGACCCCGAGGGTCGAGGGGGGGCGGACGGACCCCCGGTGTGACTGCCTCCCGCTGCGGCCTCCCGAATCCGCGCCCCCGGAGCCGTCGCCCCCGCGCCCCGCTCGCGGTCCCCGCGCCCGCCGCTCCGCGTCCCTCCCACCCGGCCGCGCGCCGTTACCATGTAGGACGGGAAGCCGGCGGCGGCGGCCGCGTCGGCCGAGTACTGCAGCGGGCTGCCGAAGCCGGTGGCCGCCTGTGCCGTGAAGGCCGCGGAGCCCGGGTACGGGCTGAACGCCGAGCCCGACGCCGAGCGAGCCAGCTCCTCGCTGCGCGGCGCCGCCAGCGCCGAGGCGCCGTACGCCGGGCACGAGTAGAGCGCCAGCGAGCCGGGCGCCTGGTACAGGTAGCCCTGCGGGTAGGACATGGTGGGCGCGGGGCGCGGGGCCCGCGTCACGCCGAGCAGCGGGCCGGGCGCGCGGCGCCCTCCATCCACGCCCGGCCGGGGCGCGGCGCGGCGGCGGGCGCGGGGGCCCCGGGCCGAGGCAGGCCGGCCGGCGCACTAGCCCGGGAGGCCCGCGGGCCGGGGAGGCGGCGGGGCGGCGGGGCGGGGCGGCGGGGCGGCGGGGCGGCGGGGCGGCGGCGCGGAGCCGGTGGGCGCAGCCGCGCGCCAGGCCGGCGGTCGGGGTTTGGGGGAGTCTGGAGTCGGGAGTGAGGAGTTGAGGAAGGAGCGCTCGAGTTTCCGAGGGACATTGGAACGCGGAGCTGTCCGTCACGCGCTCATCTGCATATTCGGGCGCCCGCCCCCTCCCCTGCTCCGCCCGCTCCGCCCGCTCCGCCCGCTCCGGCTGCCGGGCCGCGGCCGGGGGAGGGGCGGGGAGGGGAGGGCGGGGGAGGAGGCGGGAGGGCGGGGGAGAAGGCGGGAGGGAGGGACGCGCAGGCTTTTGTGGCGCAGACGCCAGCCCGCGGCCCGCGGCCCCGCGGCCCCGCAGCGCAGCCCGGCCCGGCCGAGCCGCTCGCCCCGGCTCACACCCCCTCCCCCTCGCACGCCCTCCCGGCCTCCCCCCGCGGCCCGCGCGAGCCCGGTCCTCCCCGGCCGGGCTCCTCCCGCCGCCCCGTCCCCTTCCCCATCGCCCCCCCCCCCGCCGCCCCCTGTACCCACCCCCCTCCCCGTTCGGCCCGCGAGGGCTGGGCGGGGGCCGCCCGCAGTCGGGGACCCTTCTGCGCCGCGAGGAGGCCGGCCCAGGTGACGGCGCGCGTGACCCCGGGCTCGGGGCCAGGAACCGGCGCGGAGGGAGTCGGGCCCTCCTGGGGGTGGCGCGCGCCGCTGTCGCCCCCTGCCTTCCCCGGCTCCTGGGCCTCCCCGGGGGAGCCTTCCCGCGTGGCCTCGAGTCCGGTGGCCTGCCCCGCGCCGCCCAGCGCGTGCCTGCGACCCCGGATCGGGGAGGGCCCTGAGGTGAGCTTCTGCTCCCCAGTCCCTAGGGGGACACCCGGGGCTCTGCGTGCCAGGACTTTACGCTCTTGGGAAGGTGTAGACGCTCGCCGCCAGTGTTTCTCTCGGGAAGATGTCACCCCTGAAACGCTGTACTTGATTGTATTTTGATAAGTTGACTCTTCTTTGGGACAAGTGTCGTACAGCGTTCCGGAGAATGACTGTCACCGGACAGACCGCCTCTGCACGACGTGAAGACTCGCTGTCGCTGTCGCTCGGGAGGAAGAAGGAGGGCTGCGGGAGCGAGCGCTGTCAGCAGCACAGGTGGCTCAGGTAAAACTAGGGGCTCCGGAGCTCCCTCTCCGGCCCAGAGGCAGGTGCTTAGCCAGGGGCCCCGGGACCCCAGCCCCAGAGACCCTTCACTCCCCAGCCCTTCTGCACCCCTTCTGCACCTGGGGCGGGAGGATGAAGGCACCTGGTTCCTGGGGTGTCACGGATGGGGGGTGCCCAAAAGGCACACGGGGTGTCAGTGTGCACTATCCTGGGCAGGGCACCCACCCAACAGGTGCCTTTTCCTCAGAGGCCCTCTCTGGGGTGGTGGGTTACCTGTGCGGTAGAATTGCTGCAGGTGGGAGCTGCGGCCTGCGGCACCTGCCCCACCAACCTTGTTATGGACTTCTGCGGGGGTCCCGCAGGCCCTGGCCTGGCCAGGCTGCAGTGGGGGGACGGAGAGCCTGCAGCCCAGGCCTGTCCACAGCAGAACCTTCAAGACACAGTTAAGCTGTGTTTCTTTTCCTAGGTCCCAGGAAGCCAGTTGCAAACCAGAGTGTTGGGCTTGGGAAGAACCCATCGTCCTTGGCCTGTAGGCCTGTGACTCCTAGTAGGTGCACCTTATCACCAGCCCCCATGTTTTCCCACTTTTTCTTCCCCAGTGCTCCCCCTTCCTGAAAACCAGTTCCTGCACCCTCTACACTTTGACCGACCTCCCTATCACCCCCAAACAGCCCTTCCCACACAGCTGGGCCACTTGCGGGGACCTCTCTGGAGGGGTTTTAACGATGCTGCCACCCCAGGCGGGCTGTCCAAATTCAGTGCGGGGCAGATACTTTACAGCAATTATGGTAGTGTGGAAAAGGACAGAGAAGGGCGGGCGTGGGGGTTGCTCCAGCAGTCCTCCCAGCACACCCTCGACAGGATCTATGAGATTTTTGGTCTTCCTGAGAGAGGACTGGGCCAGGTAGAGGCCATAAATGAGAGTCACACACGTTGGATGACAAACATAAACAGCAACAGATCAGATTTGCAGGCTTTTGGATTTGTTTCCAATGAGACCGGTTAAGTGAAAAAAAAAAAATCAGGTCTAATTTTTATCTCCGAGGATGATTGGCCTGCAGTATTTCCATTTCTAAAGGCCAGTTCCTGCTGTGTTTCATTAGCATTTGGGGCTCGCCCCCTCGCCCTCCCTCCTTCTCCCTCCACCCCCCTTGGGCCTGATCTCTGCCAGGGGCAGAAAAGAAAACATTGAATTATTACAAAAACATCCCCAGTTTGGAGCAGGAGCGTATGCTCCGGATACACTCGATTTTGACATCAATTAAGTATATAAGCAGACAAGCACACGTGGCTTTGGAGGGGCTCAGTCGCCCTGGGTGCATCTCCACCAACGCTGTCTCCTCTTCCCTCTCTTTAGCTCTTGCTGCTGATTCTACAGACAGCCTCTTCCTCGAGTGTATTTTCCTCCAGCAATTACACTCCTCCACTGAAATCTAAATTTTCCATACTGCTGCCTGCTACTAATAAAAACCGTCTACCTTGCACTATTAAACAGTAGAATCGCGCTACATGCCGTTTTTATTGGTAGTGACTGTAGCAAATTAAAATGCCTACGCAGAGACATTAAAACTTACACTCTGCATTGTTATTGGAATATATAAACTCCGTTTCACTTTAAAGCTCCCTGATTTTTTAAAACCACTTTCCCTTTTCTTAGATGAAAGTTGGCTTGGCCTTCTTTTACAAGAAACCAATGGGAAAAACAGGCTGCGAGTGTGGAGGCTGGACGCGGTGGCTCGGCACGCGGCCGCCTGCGAGGGTGGCCTGGCTTGGCGCGCGCTCGGGCCGCGGTGGCCGCGGAGAGCGCAGGCCGAGCCGGGAGCCAGCTGCTGCACCGCGCGCCCAGGGCCGCCGCCGCTGCAGGAGAGCGGACCCCGGGAGGCTCGGGGTGGACAGGCCGGCGGCGCACCGCGCGCGGGTCAGGCCCTTGGCGGCCCGCGTGTTCGTTCGGATGCCGTCCGAGCTGCACGGCAGAGGATGGGCAGGCACGCCGGAACACCGGAGACCTGCGTGGAAGTCGCGGTCACTTTGTCACAGTGGCAGGGGCAGGGTCGACCCCCTCCTCCCATCCGTGCGCTTGTAAAAATAAGTTAGCACTGTCACAGGGGTCGTTCCCGTCCTCACGCATTCGAAACGCGTTGGCGCAGCACTGCACGTCTCCGCGAGCCGGGGCTCCTGCGAGGCCGCGCGGCAAGAAGCGCCTGGAACGCGGCTCGGCCCGAGAGGTCTCTCCGGGAGGCGGCGGGCCGCGCAGGCCGAGGCCCTGGCGCACAGGGTTGGCCCTGGGCTCTGGGCGCGGGGAGGCCCACAAGCCGAGCGTGCGGGCGGCGAGGGGGCGCTGTGGCCCGCGGCTGCGGACTCGGCCCCTGCGCGGTGGCCCCAGTGCTGTCCCCGGCCGCCGGTGGCGGTGCGCGCCCTGGCCCCGCCCGACCTCCCTCGTCCCGCGTCGGTTTCATTGGGGGTGGGGGGGGGTGGAGGAAAATCATGCCGGGCACTCCAGAAGATCCGAAGTCACGCAGGAACCTGTTTGCTTTACTACCCTGGCGGCCGGCGGAGTCTCTAAGAGTTTGGAGGGAAGAGAGCCACCATTTTGGAATGCGCAATTGGGGGAGGGGGGTTCAGTTAAGATTAAATGTGCACCGTTTGCAGGGGTTCCCGTGATGCAGTGACCTCTCTCTACACCGTAGGCAGCCTCGGTGCACCGGAGCACCTTCCCATCCAGGACGCCTCTGGTCCCAGCGCTCCCTGCCGTCCTGGACGGAGGCCAGCCGGGAAGGGTGAAGGGGCACTAAGTTCGGGTTCGGCAACTCGCTTTGTTTCTCTGTCCCTGTTTTGTTTTGTTTCTGTTTGTTTTTGCAAACCCACATGTGCCGCCGTATCCTGTACCCAGTGCGAGTCCCGATGAAACGCAGAGGTCTCCGCAGCGCGGTCTCCAGCGCTCTCGGTTGGCTGCGAGCAGGTCCCCCGATTCCAGATGCACCGGTGTTCTGCGGTTCCCCCGCGCGTCTGCGAGGCCGGGCCAGATCCCCGCAAAGCAGGCGCCCCGGACGATCCCTCGCTGCCGAGGGGTCCCCGCCGCCCCGGCCCGCGGCTGCCCGGGGCCTCGAGCGGGAAGCGCCGAGGTGGCAGCACCTAGAGACCAGGGGCAGCCCCTGGGGTCGGGCCCCCAGGGTGAGGGCTCAGGGCACGCTCCTCTGACTTCCTCAAACCGAGGCTTGGGTTCCCTGGCACATCACCGACTCCGGGGCTCTTAGTGACCGCGAGGTCTCCGCCGCCGCTTGGTCCCTCGCGGTGTCCCTCAGTGGGTGGCAAAGTGTCCATCGTCTCCACGATGCCCCGCCTCCGACGCGCTCGCGGGTGTCTCTCCCCGCGTCTCCGCAGCTCGCAGCCCGGGTCTCGGCCCAGCCCCCCGCCAGCTCTCCCCACGCCTCTCCCGCCGCTCCCCGCCCCGGGGCGCAGCTCCTGGGGTCCGGGAGGGGCCGGCCGGGGAGCCCCGCGCCCAGCCCGGGAGGAGAGGGGAGGCGACGCGCGATGATGCACGGCCCGAGTTCCACGCCTGGAGACCCGTGTCGGGAGCAGCCCGGGGTGGCCAGCGACTGCTGGAAGGAAAGAGGTGGGGAAGTCCGCCTCCGCGCCGGTCCCCGCGCTCGCAGGCGGCCCGCACCCCGCGTCCCGCGCCTTGCGCCCCACGGCGGACACACGCACGCGCACACGCGCGCCTCCCGAGAGGCCGCGCCGCCCAGCGCGCGCTCCTCTGCGCCCCTGCAAACAGAGAGCGGTTGTTGGGTTTGGGTTTTGTTTTGTTGTGCTTTTGGTTTTGGTTTTAGCCTTTTTTTTTTTTTAAGTGTTTCTGCTAGACAAATAGCATGTGGAAGAACTTAGCTCCCCTCCTCCCGCCCCTGCGGCAGCTGCTCCCGGCTTTGTGGCGGCCGCGTTCCCGGCAGAGCGCTCCTCCGTGGTGTCCGCGCGCGTGCGGCGGGGAGCGCGCCCCGGCCGGTGCCCACCCGCGGGAGGCACCCCGACTCCTCGCTCGCCAGAATGCACTGGCGAAGGAAGGTTTCCTGCAGTCTTTTGACAATTACTTTTAGCCAACAAGAAAGAGAAGCACTGAAGAGCGTTTGTCTGGGGCCATGTTGCATATCTTTCAGAAGATCTTACTTCAGTGTGTGCACCCCCAGACAGCCGGACCAGCCCGCTAATTGGAGGGGCACATGTCCCGCGCACAGGCGTGCCTGTCGGCTCCCAGGATCTCCTGCAGGCTGTGACACACCTGGTGTTGCTTAGGCAGGGAAGGGAGGAGGGTTTTATTTTGTTTTCCCTTTTTAAGCACTGGAGAAAATGCAGAAACAACAGTTTAACAAATTGCATTAAAAATAAAAACAAAATCAACTTCAGGTGGGCAGCACATTAATGGCCGACACCCACCAGGGAGAAGATGTTTAGAGCACCTGTGAATATGACAAACACTGTCATACAGAATCATGAAGAATTTTGACAGCCAATGGGTGAGGCAAGCCATTCGGTGGAAAAATGGGCCAGAGATATGAACAGACTCTGCACAGAGAAGATTCAAAAAAGTGAGAAGGTGCCCCAGTTGCCCAGAGATGGGGAAATCAGACAATGGAGGTGATGCAACTTTTCCATTCACTGGATGACACCAAACTAGGCCCAGGAGGTGCAGAGACAGGGAGCTAGCTCTCTCTCATTGCTGTGCTAGTTTAAATTGCTACAAAGAAACTTAGGAGATGTTGGGCAGCATCTGGGAGAACAGAAGATGCCCACTCCCCTCTCACCTGCAACCCCTTGCTTCCTCGTCCACTGAGAGAATGTCCAGCGAGGCTTGGCAGGCCGGCCAAGCACAGCCCTGCAGTGCAGGACTGGAAACCCCCACGTTGCAATCTGTATAGGCCTGAATATAGAATTTGTGGCATATTTCATGGAGATAAAATGATCGCTGGAGATGAATGTGAATGAAGGTAGTTCTCGTATCAAGAGGAATAAGTACTGAAAGTATAAAACTTTCGAGGGCGAGGAAAAAAATAATTAAAAAGCAAAAGGATACGGGCAAGATGACGGTAAGCGTGGATTCTACAGCCAATGATATTCTGTGCTGTTGACAGGTGGGGCTGGGGGGCAGTCCAGTGGCTGCAAGAGCAGCGTGGGAAGGAAAGGGTCCACTCCACTGTGGGGCAGGCCCAGCACCTTTGAAGAGGGGCAGTGGGATTGGGAGGCCGGCTCCAGCACCTTTAGTGAGGGTTTATTTCTGAAAAATATATCTCTTGTGAATGTCACAAAATGTTAGTGATTATTAACTTGGAATGATGGTTACATGCACTTGTATTACTCTGTACATTTTTATTGTGTGAAAATATTTTGTTTTGAAAGTTAAAGCAAATTAGCATTCTAAAAAGTGTTATAGCACAGAAGTATATTTTGCTAATTTGTGAGTCATTTCTTAAAAAAAAATCTTAAAAATTTACATCATTCATGTGTTTCTGCCTCTTTCCATTTCTGTACTCTCCAGAAAACAAAACAAAACAACAAGAAGACAGTGTCTTGGGTTTGCAGTTTAGACCTTTAAATGGATCATCACCTGTGTGTATGTCTTTGAGCAGTTATCCAAAGCATGGCTGGGGGACAGGCTTCCTGGGCAACAGGCTCCCCGGGGGCCCTGTGCCCTCCATCTGGGATCTGGGGAACCACCACCTCACTCTGTGGGAGGCAAGGCCTGGCCCTTGCCTGCTCATGGCCACAGGAATCGAATCGAGGCCTCTCCTGAAGGTAAAGACAGCACCCACTGTAGCCCGGCTGCCCACTGGCCACCTGCATGTCCCTATGGGAGACACATACCTTTATAGTGTGCAGAATTCTATATCTTGTCTTGTTGTCACTGTGCACATATTTTAGAAATCCAAATCCAGATTAGAGAGAGGGGCTTGGGGACAGCACGTTAGGGAAGGGCAGAGTGCAGCCCACCAAGGAAAGGGAAGAGAGCCAGTGCCTGGGAGAAGGTCCTTGCTCTGGCAGACTGTGGCCTGTCACACACCTCCTCCCTCCTTGAGGAGAGCTCCCCCCTTTCTAACCCACCTTTAGCTCTTTCTAGAAAGGACACCCTCTTACCACTGCAACCAGAGGGATCTGGATCTTCAACTACAAGTCTGCTTAAAGCCCTGCTCCAAGCAGCTTGGCCCACTCACCTTTCTGCCTGCAGCTACACTTCCTCCCATGTCAGGTCTCTACAGATTGCTTTACCCCATAAGTCTCTTCCCCATGGTTCTCATTCACCCCTTCTCCCTGGGAGCTGCTGGTGTTCAGGTATGTTGGGTCTCTGACCTCGTTCCCCCATCCCCCACTCTAAGCCTGGGATAATCATGAGCAGGAAACAAGTATTGATGAAATGAATGGATGAATGGCTCACTCCTGGTTATCCATTTTTACTTCTAAAAGGCACAGCAAGGGGTTGAGGGAAATAAACCGAATTGACCTGCTAACCCTTTAGAGATTC